TGAAGGCGGCTTCTAAATGCCAAGAAATTGATGGTGCTGAATTATCAGATACTTTTTTAAGTACGAAATAGATTTATTTTATTATTTCTCGAAAATTACAATTACTGTAATGACATTACCAATTATCGGGTTACCAATAATTGCTGAAGCGACAAATGATTTTAGGCAATGCCAGAAAATTAATTCGTCACATTGTTGTTTCAGAGCCGAGCAAATCAATCATCTTTCAGAAAATATCCGGACAAGGGGAACACTGGTACATCACAGGAACAAACATTTGTTGCAAATGGTCCCGAAAGCAACAAAACATGGTTGTAACTGATTTATTGACTACGTATTGAATAAAATATTACATAACAGGGTTTTTTTATTGACCCGATATATTTGGTGAATGCAATCATTAAGAGTCAAATATCGGAGAAATTCCTCATAGTTTGTGTGCTCATACCGCTAGGTGGACAGCTGAATTTATCTCCATAACCTATCATTGCAGTTTCCATTCTAAGGGGTTATGTTCTGTGATGTACATAACCTCTGTTCACGTGATGTAATATAAACAAAATTTATCTCAAAGTTTTAGGAAAAACTAAAACAATGCTCAAAAGAATGGTATCAAGAAATGTAAAAGCTTGTGTACTTGTGGGATCAGCAACGGCTGTCGCCTTTATTGCAGGAAAATATTATGAGAGAAACACCCTTACGTAAGATATTCTTTTTGAGGTAATAAAGGTAATTAATTAACTAATGTATGATCATACAAAAAAGCGTAGACATTTCTAATATTTCTATTATATTAGTAGTATATAATAGTAATTCAAGTAACCCATAATCCATGCAATGCAAAATATATTTTATAGTTGGGAATTGCATCTAAATTAGAGGGATTTTCAGCTATTTGCTTATACAATATAGAGGAGAACTTAAAGAAAGCAGTAAAGAATAATTAAAATATACTTTTTTCGTGCCTGGATATTCGTTTTTCTAAAAAATATATCGTTTTGCTATAGCACGTAGAATATTTCCTCAAAACCTAACATTTTGAAGTAGTAAATTACCTAATTAATCTCAATAAAAAGTCTATGAATTTGATCATGCATATGAATTCGAAATTTGGAAGAATTCGAAAACTCTTAAGTACTTACTTAAAATTTGTTTAAGGAAACTACCGATCATGTTCAAAGTTACCATACAAAAGATTCGACCGGTACTTATCTATTTTATCAAATTTCTTTAATTGTCTTGTCCTTAAGCTTATCAAGCCGGTGAACTCTAGCATGTTCAGTCTTTCATGTGCCTTATAGTTAAGAAAATTAATAATAAACTTGTTCAGGGCGGCTTAATAAACTGTTAAAAGCGGCAACTTTCGAAAGTTGACTAATTTTGCACCATATTGTCGAAACATTTTTGAGTGTTAAATCTGACATTAAAATCTCGCAGATTAAAATTTGACGACACTGCTACCATTTTTCGCTTCTTTGGGTTTCATAAATTTAAATACGAAACAAGGTTACGTACGCCTTACAAAAATCATTAGTTTCTGAAAATTTTTGGTAACTTTTTATATTTAGTTTTACTCGAAACAATTTTGACCTTGTTTTTACGTTTTGCAGGCGTATATATTCCTGTATACAGGGTGTATTGCGATATTGCGACCTAACATTTATTAACAACAAATGGCTGGATTCTTTGCTATTGATGGTCAAAGTTCTTCAAAAAATGTATCTTTTTTGAAATATCGGGAGAATGGTGCTACGTATTTTGGTGAAACTCGCTGTGAATTTGTTTTTATGTAAGACTCATGTTTTGATGAATCAATCGAGTTCACCCGTTTTGGACAAGTGTTGAATTCTTGAGTGTCGTTGTACAAAAACTACCAGAACTTTTTATTTGGCGTATGGAATCAACTCATTTTTTTGTTGATGCACTAAACATTTATTCACAATTTTGTGTTCTTCGTAAAATCTCGTAGCATTCATAGTTTTTGATTAACAAAGAAAAGAACAGACTATTTTAACAAAGAACAAACTTATTTTACGCATCATTAAGCATCACATAAACCATCATTGCGTTTGAACATATCGCCTAGTCTGTATATAGACGGTCTGATTCTATATCGTCTGTAAAATATCTATAATTCAAATACGAAGAATCACTTCATACAGTGGAAATTAATTTTCTTCGGCCCAACGTAGACACAAATTAAATTAATTGACCGCCTATTTACTGGGTATTTTCTGAATAGCTTTGCCTTCGTAATCGAAGTAGTGATTTTCTCCTGTGACGTTAGCTACTATCTCATCATCTTCCAAGATTTCTATAGTCAAATTTTTCATCATTCACCTCTTCCCATTTCTTGAATTATAACATTATACACTATATCTCAAATCTGTACCAATGTTAAATTTTATCTGAATATGTATTTTCTTTAACCCGCGGACCTATGGCATAGCATGACTGCGTAGGCGGCAATAATCTCTGACACAGGTATTCGCCCGTACCCACTAACGGCGAAATTTGGTCCGCAAGTCCAGATCTGCAGATTAATTTTGTACGAAATTCGCATCGAGTCGTATCTAGTTCGTGGTTAACCATTAACGCACCGATATTTCTTCGAATTTGGCTCGCCACGTATCAGATATGACAGATATTTGGCTCGTGTATGGGGCGCCATTAACTGCACATATACGCCGCGTAAACGCGTACGTTTTCACGCAAGTTGTCGTGGAAAGCCATAATACATTGACCATGTCGGTTCGCAAATACTATGAATGCTACAAAATTTTACAAAGGGCACAAAATTGTGAATAAATCAACCGAAAAAATGAGCTGATTTCATCCACCAAATAAAAAGTTCTGGTAGTTTTTGTACCACGACACTCAAGAATTCACCACTTGTCCAAAACGGCTGAACTCGATTGTTTCATCAAAATATGAGTCTTACATAACAACAAATTCACAGCGAGTTTCACTAAAATACATCGTACCATTCTCCCCATATTTCAGAAAAGATAATTTTTTTGAAGAACTTGAAAAACTGACATTTTTTGTTAATAAAAGGTAGGTCAGATCGTCTTCTGTTGGTGCAAAGAATATCATCGCAGTATTACACCCTGTATACAGTGTGTCGCACTTAAGATGAAAACACCCCTGCATTTTATTTATTTTTAGAAGCAGAGTTTTCAGTTTCGATACATCGGTAGAACGTCATGAGCTTAATTGGTTAGGGTACCCATTTCTAACTTCAGATGAAAACCCAGCCTAGTACGACTTTGCGAATAGGGGAAATTTGCTATTTGCCAACTTTTGACGCGCTGACAACATTTTACTTTTGACTTGAAACTCGGTATTTACCGTTAAAATGACATTCTGAACAACTTTCTCTAGTAACTTTTTCCGAAATCTCTAAGGCATCGCAAAATATAGCAAATTGCCCCTATTCGCAAAGTCGTAGTAGGCTGGGTTTTTATCTGAAGGTAGAAATGCGTACTCTTAACAATTACGCTCATAACATTCTACCTCTGTACTGAAACTGAAAACCTTGCTTCTAGAAATAACTAAAATACAGGGGTGTTTCCATCTTAAGTGCGACACACTGCAGAATAGTGTTTTTTCTAAGTCTTATGTATCTAATTTTTGGGCGTAAGCCTCTTTCATATGTTTTCATCTATTTCTATTTCGGTTCTGTGCTTCCCTTATCTATGCCAAACCTGCCGTGAGTTTTATATCGTCTGTCCAGCGCATTGGCGGGCCCCTGGATTCTTTGCCCTGGTAACCCCAGTCTCCACTGTGGCAAGTTTTTTGTCTATCGTCCCTCCTGTATTCTGGCCACATGACCTGCAAAACTCCATTTGAGCTCAGTTATTTTCTCACCAATATCTGTAATCTGGGTTACACGTCTGATGTGTTCATTTGTAGACCGTTGAAATAGGTTCTGAAAAACTGCGTTTGAATTACATCCATTCCTCCGTATTGAAACATGTTTCGTAACAGAAAAATCGCAAATCAAATACAATTTGAATGAAACAATTTGTAGTAGATGTATGGCATGTTTTGAAATATTTGATAATTAAAAAACTAGATTCTGCAAGTTAGAGCTGTAAGGCCTTTTTTACTTACTTGTTTCATATGGAATAAAAATGTACTTAATATGCCTAATGAATTAAGTATATTAGAATTTTATTTATTTTAGTTCTGTTATATATTTTCAGGGTTCATCTATCGCCTCAACCTGCTTTGCCTGTATTTGGTTCAGTTTCAGCTGCACAAGATGCATGCTCGCTATCTGCAAAAACATCATTCCTCGATAGACTTTTGTCAAAAAATGTCTGGTCTATTGAAGCTGCTTCGCCATTAACTGAAAATGGGAATCCACAAATTGTACCGAGAAACTCTAGTAGAATTAGCCAGATTATGAAATATGGTTATCCAAGCTTAGACAATGTAATTTCGTACAATGATTATATATTGAGTTATGATAGAAGAAATAAAGTGGCTAATTGGGTGTTTGAACACTTAACAGCAGAATCTGTCAAGGGAAATGAAAAGGTTGACCGATCAAAATGCAATTTTGTAGAGGCACAACATGTTCATCCATATTTCAGGTAGGTAATGGCAAGCTTTTACTGAGAGATGAACAAATTTGACTCCCGAGAAATAAAAATAAATTAAGCAATTAGAAAATTGAACTACACATACATATTAGGAAATAAGTGTTTAGGTGATTATTTTTAGGTTCGGTTTACACGATATTTAGGTGATTATTTTTAGCTTCGCTCTTCAGAAAATAAAGAGTACACGCGGGTTACGGCTCACATGTTGGCCGTATCTTATTTTGATCACGTTTACTGAAATTTAATTTGCAAAATAAGTTAATACAGTTCGTTGGCGTCATTCCTTTTAAGATGTATTAGGGGCTCACTTATAGTGTACGAGAAAAATATTGAAAGCATTATTTTGAAATTGTTCCATGTTTAATTGGTAGCATATTGGAATACTTAAGCATTCAAAAAGAAAATTTGTGATATTTGCTTCAAATTACGAAAGTTTTTGATATCAAAATAGTTCTGTTCTACAATTTTTTAATCAAAAGTCAAAGCGGAAATGATGTTTTTTGTCATTAACAGATAGTTGCAGGCAGAATGTCTTTATTATTAATAACAATAATTTGTCAAAGTGTGACTTACTTTGAAGCTCCTTTCACAAATTTGCGGATGTGCGATTAGTTCAGGGGAAATGCCACAGTAACATAGCAGAATTTGTAATAACTCACGCCAACAAAGGGCGAGAGATACTGCAGATTGGCTCCAGGAAGATAGTGGACGACAATAGATGTTCGGGTTCTGTTCAGACACAGAGGAACAAGTATTGGTCATAATTGCATCACAGCCTTCTAGGGGTAATCAGAGCACAACTGACACTGGCACCAAATAAATACCGGCTCCATTCCTACCACGTAGGTAAAACACAAACGTTAAACAAGGACACGTTAAACCAATGGATGTCTGAACACCAGTACAAATTGAGCAAGAGTTAATTAACCGTATACGAGAAGCTGCTCGATAAGAGTGAATAATAAGGAGATTACACAGGCACTAGCTTGTTTGGAGTTAACGGCTCAAATGTATGTGTATTTGTAAGCATGTACAATTCGAGGTTATGAGGACAATAATTGACATTTAGAAAAAGTACGTTCCACAGTAAACGAATCATGTTGAATTTAGCGTTTATCTTTGTCTATTTTATTGTCACTCTGTATAATTCCATGGTTACTAAAGTTTTTAATAATCACAAAGCGAGAGGTATTTACGTAATGTTAATTAAGCAGATTACATTGAAAAACATTGTTGCCGTTTTTCTAATATAGGTTTTTCCCAATTTCCCTGTTTTTAATAACAACTAATTTTTCTTGCTATTTTTCTGTACTCTTAAAACACCGCCAGACAACACCTCCAGAGGAATGACGCAAATTTTGAATCACCCTGTATTTTGGCCCTTTATTTTGAACTGTGTTGGTCTGTCTCGGCAGCGAGGACTGGACAGTCATAACATTTGGTGCTAACAAATTGCACACTACAGTTAGATAAGATATTATAACTATTTATTTATTTATTTAATTTAATTAATATAATGAGATTAAATTCTGAATGGTCTCAAGTGGACTAAACGGATCGATTTGAGAAATTGCTTTAATAGGGTATAACATATTAGGGTATTATGTGAATGAACAGATACTTTTGAATGGGCAGTTTTTGTGATTGGATAGCTATTTTATTTTAGATCCCGCAACTCAGACTACAAAGGTTCAGGGTATGACAGGGGTCATTTGGCAGCTGCAGGAAATCATAAAGCCTGCCAGCAACACGTCGAAGAGACATTTTATCTTACAAATATGGCGCCACAGGTGGGAAAAGGTTTTAATCGCGATTCTTGGAATAGGTTGGAGAAATATGTCAGGAAGTTGACTAAGAGGTACCCTAATGTGTATTGCTGTACTGGTCCCTTATATTTGCCAAAGTAAGTATAGTCTAATTATTGTTCTTTGAAAATTTCAACATGAATTTCGAAGTGAAAAAAAAATATAACGTGTGATTTCAAAGTTGATTCGTATATTATTTGCATGTGTCAGCTCCTTAATCATCAATTCGATCCGAACGGTTTGAAATATATATATGTTCATATATTTTTTGTATTTAAGTTCCTGGCCTTAAACTCCATAAATAAGCCTTCACGATTTTTCAGGAAAGAATCAAATGGAAAAATGTATGTGAAGTATGAAGTTATTGGAAGTCAGCATGTTGCCGTTCCCACACATTTCTACAAGATGGTTGTGGGAGAAAACCAAGACGGAAGCCTGGAGATGGAATGTTATGTAATGGAGAATACTGTAATTGATGACAATATATCTTTACAGAGTTTTCAGGTCAGTAGCAATTGTTCTAATAAATTCAAGGTACTAAAATTTAAATCAGGACCTTTTAATATAAATACAAATAGCATTGTTTTTAACAGCATGAAAAATTAAATAGGGTTTCTATTATTTTTCTAGATTAACACAGTGTGTACCTAAATAAAAGTTGTGCCGTTATGAGCTGTGGATTATATTACATTCTATTTTCTCCAATTTTGAGCCATCTTGACAAGTGCTTATATGAGCATTATTAGGCATTACATGAATAGCGCAACAAAAATGTTTTGATTTGGTTCTAAACCTTCCGGGACGCAGCCTGTCCAATTTAAGACGAAGTCGAGAATATATAAAGTTGTCAACAGCAAATATTTATTATAATTAAAAACATGTAATTTTTTATATTTTTTGTATGTTCAGAACTTTTTCGACGTTTCTACAGATGATTTTTTTACATTTTGTTTTCATGGGATTACACGTTATCATTTCAAATTTTGTTATTACAATGCGATAATATAAATGTACTTTCAGCACCTTATTATGGTGCAAGTAGGTTCTATGCAAACATATCTATGTATTTTAGGTTCCACCTGAATTGGTTGAAAAATCAGCAGGACTCCTCTTTCTTAACAATGTACTGAAGGCTAGGATTCAAAGTATTAATGGAAAGAAAGTTTGACTGTTATGCGTTTAATGTCGTTTTAAGCCGTGTTACGGTTCAAGAGTTTTAACTCAATTATTTTAACCAATTATGTACAATTTTAAAATGCTGATCAATATACGTATCACTAGATACAAATCTTCATATGTTGGTACATTTAATTTCAAGCCCAATGATTAGTCCTGTGTTTACCCCGATATGAACTCATGTACAGTCGAACAGAAGCTTATATCGATATTGGCAACAAAGCAGCAATAGATGTTTGGCATATTTTTGAAAGATTTCCGGATGGGAGCTGCCGAAGAAGCTCTTGGGAATGGAAAGCTCACGTGTGGGAAAATTCTTACAAATGGTTCATTCAGGCTTCGGTTAATCATTATTTCATCAAATATACAGAGTTCATCTTCAGTTGTAAATAATAGTGGTGGGGAAAAAGTAACTATTCGTTACTCGAGTACTCGTGACTTATGCGGATTTGAGGGGGCGAATACGGAACCCTTGAACTTGTCTTTATCTATAGTCAGAGATAACCCAACAGAATCAAACCATAAAACGGTTATTCAAGTATGTATTAGGTCTTGGAAACAGTCCAGTTGCCCGTTCTAAGCTTCAAATACGTTTCTACTTGTGCAGTTTCTACTACTGCACTCTGCAGTAAACAAGGACGGCCACATCGTATTTCTCTTTAAATTATGTTTCTGTATGTTTGGTTGACCGCGGCCCACACGCGCGTTTGATTTCCAACGTCGGTAATTTCTAGGCCTTTCTAGCAGCATACATTAAAATGCAAAGCTTACCTCGTTCTGCGCATGCTTCAACGTTTATTACAGACGATAAATTGGCTACTGGCGGCTAAACATAGGAATACGATCCCTTTAATGCGCATGCGCAGACTCTAAGCTATCAATTGTTAATTTTTAGGATTACAGCGTGTTCGACATTCTTTTATACGGTATTTCAGCAAAATTAATATGGGTTGTTTATCCCGCAATTCGGTTTTTGCACATCAAAGCAATTATATCCGCAATCGCCGCCAAGCTCATAGCTTGGACGATAAAGTGGTTATTGAATATGCATACGAGATATGATTGTTTAAATGCACTTAAAAAATGAAGATTCTAGACATCATTTAACACAGAAACGTACTACAATCAATGGTTGTACTAAAGATGCTATGAAATCTACTCTTTTTGATTATCAAACGATATCCAAGCACACGCCATCAGTATAATAACATTTATCACTAACTAGCGGAGCGACCCGTGGAGTTGCCCACGTTGACCTGTAGTTACGTGTGCAATTTTTTCGAAAACAGTCAGTAACACACACCGTTGGAATAAAAAATGAAGTAACGTTTGATGCATCTGGTAGTTCATAAGACCTGCTAGCTAACGCAATTGACGATGAGACTCTACTGGGTTAATGAATGAATTTAATTGATAACCTTTACCTACTTTTGATTTATACAAATGCGGTGAAACAAAACTATAAATGAAACAAACAATTGAGCTGTTTTACTGAAGTGCTCCTGGGTACACCATATTTTTTGTTTTTCTTTGCGGTGCGTACACGAATAAGTCAGAGTGCTTTCCGACTGGTAAGCAGGCTATATAGAGTTGTCCGTGTGTGCAACAGGGATTTGCTAGATATAGCCCATACACTTGAAGCGATTGTCCCTGTGCTTTGCTGATAGTCATTCCAAACGCCAGTGGCACCTGAAACTGGAGTCGTTTGAACTCGAATGGCACATCAGTTGGAATCATTGGGATGCGTGGTAAGAGTACGTATTCTCCTTTAAATTTTCCACTTATTATTGTGCATAGAACAAGGCTTATATTGTATTGTATGCATTGTGGCTTCAATGATATTTTTCACCAGTGTTTTCAATGAAAGCCGCGTTCCGTTGCAAAGTTGAGGAGGATTGATGTTTCTCAGAAGAATTATGAGCACACCAATTTTCAATTCCAAAACATGTGGTGGAAGGCTTGGCAAATTAAGTGAGTTCAAGAATTCAGTTGGATAATTAACAGCTTCATTTTGATATATCATCATAGTATCGATGGACTTAGACGTTATTGCTTCGCCAGGTATCTCGTTTTGAATATGGAAATTGATGGCATCGACATCGTTGTTTCTGGCTGCTAATATAGCGCGAGCGCTGAGCCAGTCATGATTTTTGTAGTTCCGTGTCATGTTTGGGAAAACTTCGCTCATCAAACGGGCTTTCGTTGCTGTGATTTCACAGAAATCGGTCGGCAAAGTGATACAATTGGTCGATCTGTCAATTGTCATTTTTTCATTTTCAATATCCAACAACTGCTTTGCGAAGCGCTCAGCGGATGCATCGTGTTGCATCTGTACACGCATGTTGGTCGTCAAAGTCAATTTTTAACGTGTCACCATAAAACTGAAGATTTCAGACATGTATTAAATTCGTCAGCGGATGTTGAACGTGGAATTACCGGTAGAGTCTGTCGAAAATCACTAGACAACAAAATGAGTGCGCCATCGAAAAACTCTCTATTTCCTCTAAAATCTTTTAGTGTTTGATAGAGAGCTTCTAACGATTTTTTGTGAGCCATAGTACATTCGTCGCAGATGATTAACGGGCAGAATTAAAGCACTTTGCCTTTTCCAGAATTTTTGCTGATGTTGCACATTGGAGTCTCGGTAGTTTGCAAGTTCAACGGTAACTTCAGTGCTGAACGTGCTGTTCGCCCGCCTTCCAACAGGGTTGCTGCAATTCCAGATGATGCCACAGCCAGTGCAATTTATCCTTGTGATCGTAAAGTTTTTTCTGTGCCTCCGAGCGCATCTAGAAAATATAATCCACCTCTTTGGATCCTGATGGCGTGCATAATCGTTTCATATGCCATGAGTTGCTGTGGAAACAGGTTTGGTCGATTGGCTGGAACAAATAATGCCGGTTCGTCAACATCAAAATCTGTTTGGCGGTGCAAATCACGATTGAAAAGATCGGCATGTTCAGCACATGTCTTCAATCAAAATTAAAGCTTCATTCAACACGTTGGGAGCGTTTGAAGTTCTGGATTCTGATTAGCTGCTGGCAACCGATGTAAGATGTCTTCACTCATGTAGTCCTTGTAATTCTCCCAGAGATCTTTCGGGTTGGATGGAAAGCAAGTTGTTAACCAGATTACAAATAATGTGCGTATTTGGCTCGGTAGAGCTAATCGATGCATCGGCGAGTGAACTATACCAGTGCGCATCGTTTCAATTGTTGGCAAACTTCACGATAAGTGACACCATAGAGAAAGTAAAATAATTTTACTTACTCTATGAGTGACACATTTATTCACGAACCGTCTATAGACGGCCTAAAGCGTAGGTCAAGTACGAATTGGTTTACCCTTCAACTGGTCATCTTGCTTCCGGCGTTGGAATTTTTTGGTTGACGCATCCCATGTGTAGTATGTTGCCACTTCAGAATAGAGAAGCGTCTTTGGGAATAAGTCTTCCGTGGACAATGAGAAAAAGGCTGAAAGTTGTTCCAGGTGATGCCAATGCCCTTTCACGTGCATTTTCCGTTGTAAAATACACACGTTGTCCATTTTCAAGGTGCACCGCTAAATGAACAACTGTCGGATGTCGTTGATGGATGGAAAAAGACAAAATTCGCCATACTGCTTTGTTACTGCTGATATCCCAGTTAATATTGTTTGATTTCATCGATAGATTCATTTGCATTGCCAACTCCAAAACCAGCCATGTCGCTTCCTTTGTTTACATATTTGCCTACGGTAGAGTGTACTTAATCGATTTCACAATACTCGACATTGATGTGCGCCTTGAAGGTTTTCGATAGTAGAATCAAATGGGGCACAATCCAACGATTATCGACTTGAACAACATTGTTTCGTACTTTTAAAGTTATTGATTCGCCGCCTTCTTCAGTTGATCGTCTACGGTAGAGTGGATATCCGTCATTGACAGTGACAGTGTCGGAAACTAAATTTCTTGGATATCTTTTTTTTTGTTTGCCCGGGGGCAGTAGAAATAAAAATCTTTGCGAAGACTTGGATTCTTACCAACTATCAACCATCTCAATACCAAATTGGCTCTCCAGTATGATGGCTGTCATCAGTTTTTTCTCGGAAGTCACAATCTGTTCTTATACGTAGGTTATGTATGTCAGGAAAATGCACCTTGTCAGAGTAATTTCCTTCAACATTACACTTTGAACAGGAAGAATAGCCAGAATGACCTTACATATATACAATTATAATATATTTTACGTACGATTTTGCAGAAGCGTCACGAATAATTGCTTTGATATATACTGCAAACTGTTGATGTTGATACAAGAAATTTTTTTCTCGTTTATTTTATTGCTTATGTTAAATAGAACACCCTGTATATCATTACATTTTAAAAATTTGCTTCAAATTCTCAACATAGTTCATTCATAATGTCCTATACCTAAGTTCAACCGGTTTTGATATATTTAAAATTTTATGTACAAAATGACAGATGCAGCCACTCGAATAATTATTAATTTTTCCTTTAAGGAATATGGTCTACTTAATTTGAGTCGCATTTATTGTTGAAAAAGTCCTACTTCAATGGAATTTCGACAACATTTTGAAAATTATTAATACAAAGTGTTAAAAAACAAGTTTCAAAATAAAGTTGAGAAAACCGCCTCCAATCAATTTTTTCAAATGGAAATCTTCATTTTTGATAATTTAACCTTATTCAGTGTTATTATATTGCATATTTTTTCAGTTACTAAGGCGAGTCGGCTGAGCGTTGGTAAACACAAGTTTTTAAAAAAAATGTCAGGAAAAAACCAAAAATTCCTGAATGGGAGCCATAATATCCCTCGAAAGAGAAAATCGGTTGCTTTAAGTAGTAGTGAAGTAGTTTTTTCTGAGGGATGTTTTCTTCTAGAGTTGCGTTTCTGTTATTACTTGAGTTACAGTTTTCTATTAATTTATATTTAAATTATTTTTATTTTGATTTTTTTAGTTATATGCTTATTTCATGACATCTTCATTAGAACCAAACAGTTCTTTGGCGTATAGCATCAATAATTTTTTAGTTTTTTGCGTTTTAAATCAGGGCCGCTCTTTGGGTTCAGTTCAATAATTCTTCACTCATTTGTGCTTACAGTTAAGTTCGAAGTTGCCCTGCAAACTGCCGCCAATACATATTAAGACAAATTTAAACTTATGCTTAATTATTTAGATTGTTGCTTAAATTCATTTTTTTTAAGCCATAAAGAATTGAATCGAACACAACATGAATTATTAGGTATTCGAAAATTTTCGTTCAGATCACTAATACATCTCCACCTTAGCAAGTCGAGTTCTGTCTGCAGAGTGATTAAGTACTAAATAAACTGTTGTGCTATTTGAAAATCAAATCATAAAAACATATATCAAAAATGTTGTATGAAAATTTGCAAAGGTAGTAAATCTACGCCTCTGCTTTAAATCATTACCTACGGAACATACATCAATACCCTCAATACCTAGAAGTTCCGAAACAATGAGTTTGAATCACTGTTCATGCACCATATGACTTTAAGTTTGACACCCCTTTTTATGCATCGTGCTGAAAAACTATAATATTGTCTTAGGTCGTTGTCATCATACATTCAGTGTATGAGATTGAGTTACCATTAAGTGTACTGATATGAAAATTGTGATGACGGCGTTATAGTGAATTTGCTGTTATCTGGTGTCAAGTTTTCAGCGCTTTTGAACTAAAGAATAAAAGGTAATGAGAAAGCAAATTTAAAATCGGTAAATAGTTGAAAAGTGATTTTCGTGAAATTAATATTCACCGTTAGACGAAGCTTTGCTCTATCAAATGTACAGTTGGCGACACATAAAACTAGACAATTGAAATGTTGTTTTGTTAATCTGACTTTCTACCTCGTTCTACCTTTGCGTGAATGACAGAATACTGACAACTAGTTTTCCTATTAACAAAACGCCATATTCAAAATTATTTGCAGAAACTGAAATAATTAAATTAATCGAGAAAGGATAGGAATCGCAAACAGGAGCTCAGAGTTGTGGAAAACCGACGAGCACGATTTATAAAGAAATTATTTAAGCTGTCAAATTAAAACAATTTTGAGACATATATTTGACATTTTTCACAAAGCCTGATTTACCAAAATCCGAGAAAATCGCCTTTAAGAGTCGTCTACTTTTATGCGTCGCGAACTGTACTATAGTAGAACCATGAACACTCCATGTAAAATCGGGAATCCTATTTTTGATAGGGGATAAATATTAAATGATAAAATAATCAGAATGTTATAAATGACATACAGAGAGTATTCCGAATATTTAAAACGGTATTTTTTATTGTTGCTTTTTTTTGCTTGAAATAGCGGATCCTTTCTGTTTCGACTGATGGTCGATTTGTTTTATTTTAAATTTTATTTCAGTTTTCAATTTTTTATTATGTTGTAAATTATTTGACTTGTCGTTTAGATAAGGTGTAAAAACTGCACTTTTGAACATAATACAACCATATCTGGGTTACAACCATTTCTGAAGAATAAAGTGACAAATAAATGAAAACAGCCGTTATTAGTGGAAATAGCCATTTCGGAAACAAAACCGCATGCCTATATTGTTAAGTCATATTAATGTTGAACTTGCAATTCTTTTATGATAAAATGGTTCTAATCCAACAAACACATTGCAATTCATTATCTTGTATATTTTTACTTACAATTATCCGACCAGTGTCAGCCAAAACGTAAAATTACCCTGCATTCATGCCGTAATGAAGATTTCAGCCTGAAGTGGATACATAGTCAGTGTTGTGCTGACTTCACATATATAGATATATAATAGAGGGCGGTCTGATCAGTACTAAGCTACAAAAAAACAAAAATTTTGGAAAAGTAGCGATTTACTTCTCAACGTAGTCTCCTTTTAATTCGGTACATTTGACCTGGCGATGCTCCAACTTCTTTAACCCGTCTGAAAAATGCATTGTCTCGAGGTCAGCAGAGTAGGCCTCCGTGGTGGCGATGCCCTCCTGATTCGACTGAAATTTCTGCCCGGAGAGTGCTTTTCGCAAGTTAGGAAACAAAAAGAAGTCGCTCGGGGCCAAATCTGGAGAATACGATGGATGGGACCGCAATTCAGCCTAATTCGACCAATTTGGCCCTTACGCCGGCGGAGGTGTGAGCTGGTGCGTTATCGGGAAGAGCACTTTTTCCTTTGCCGTCGAAGGAGTTGGGTCACCATAGACCTCATCCAAGCGCTGTTCGATTTTTCTTCCAGAAACAAGAATCGAATCACCAACTATACTGCTCTTTTTCAATTTTTCTGCAATCCGCAGAGACACCCGCTTCCACACGTGATCATAGTTAACTTAATTTACGACATAAAAAATCAACTTATTTTTTTTAAATGGTATTCATAGTTGGCTGTGGGCCTTTTAAAATCCTTATTTTTTTTTCTGAATTTAACAATATAACTGTACATATGTTTATCTCTTTTTTTAACGGTAAAAATTTATAAGAAAAACATTAACAAGCGTCTAGCAGTATTGTCACGAAATGGTTACTGCATCTGTCATTAAAAGTGTTAAATAAATTTTACTTTTTTTAGTGGTTTGAGTTAATAAATCTCACTAGTTAATAAAAACTTGAAAAAAATACGGATCATTTAAAAATCCAACAAAGGGAAAGATTAAATTTAAAGAACAAGACGAAGAAAGAGTTTTAGCTTACATCTATTTTAATCCAAATTTATCAATCAGAGAAACTGCTAGTGAGATTCTAAAACAAAATAAATTGTATTGTATACACCATATTGAAATGTCACCGAAATGTTCCTGATCCATCCAAAGTATTTATCCATTCTTGCGGTTTTGACACTTTCATCGATACTTGTAGATCTTTGATTGCATTTTAAAAGTTTTTTTAAATTATATTTTATTCTACTCAAACTTGGACGCACTTCAGCTCCAGTTTAAGTGTAGTAACTCAGCATAGAGAAGCTTACTTCTTGCAAACTATTACATGCAGAAGTAACATCTAGAATTAATTAAATTACTTGATTTAAGCATTTGCAGTCTGCGTGGTCAGCAATTTACATGTTCTAACAGCTGGGGCGTAGCGTAGAACTCCTCTCTCAAGTCTTATCGATAGTGACACACAACGGCTGTAGGTTCAGCAAAAACAAATAGGCTGATATATACATGGCTTATGAATTATATAGTTGCTGTTGAAGAGACAGACTTTGATCTACCTTGGTCTAACACTAGTGGAGCGATATTAGCATTATTGAGTAGAAAGATACTCGGTAGTTTAATCTTGCTTACTTTATTATAATTAAGCTTTCTATAAAAGCGTGCTCCAGCAATAGCAATTTTTTTAGTTTGTGCCAATATTTAGTTTCTCTTATGTTCAGTAATCCTGGTGTTGATATTCAGCTTGGTTGTAGGGTGTAGGCCGAGCCAGAACTGCAAGAAATTTGCTGCTAAAGAATCTCATTCAAGTAATATTTCATCTTGTGTATGTAAGGCAGGAAAGCAAGTTTCTTTCTGTGATGTATCATTATGGCGATTCAAATTACTAGGCCTCATTAGTCTACTTATTTCCTGATCGGTGTTGCCATTAAAAGCAAACGCTCTCTCAAAATGTGGAAGTTTCCCTAAACTTCACTGGGCTGGCTAATCCTTCCACCTCTCTCGGTCGATGCTTAAACGTCGTCAAGCTTCTGCTGTAGATGACGGAGGTTTTTGTCCGTCCGCGTGCTGCACCATTCTCGATGATGAGTATTCAAAGATAACATTTATTTGCTTGCGGTAACGATCCCAATAAATCCAAAATGATAACTTCGAATCTTAGACAAGCGGTAGAGTTTGTTGCATTCTTGCAGATTTTAGTGACATTTTCTGATAATACTTATCAATAATACCTTCAAACCATGTGTCGATGGAAACCTTCCACTCCGTAATAAATAGCGTCAGGACGAATATACGAATCCTCGTCAACGGAAAGAAAGTAGTAATAGTTCACTTTAAAGGCCAGCATTGCCATAAAATAAGTATGGGTACAAAATTGCTGGGTACAGAAATATTTAATATGTTTGAGAAGTTCGAAACAACTTTACACTTTGGATCAAGTAAGTGAGTGATTGATGACATTAAACTTTTCGCTCTATCAAACGAAAAATCCACATTAAAATTTCCAATTAGAATGAATGGTAATTTATGGTAGTTTTGGGTAAGTAAACTTAAACTTAAAGTCCGGTCTTTTTTTCGATGCGTTTTCATCCGAACTGCGTTCGTCAGAAAACGTGCCCAGTATAAATGTTTTTATTTTATACATAACTAAACAACTCCAATTCGTACGATGAAAAAACTTCCAGTGGACGATACCCACATTTGCGAAATCGGACGAAATCCCGCCAAAGGGCGACCGGCCTAAGGTTCTATTGGACATATAATGGTTCTTGCAAATTCATACGAATAATTTCCGGTCTAGTGGACGAGCTTCCCTACGTTGCAATGAAGTTGAATCATTCGCCCCCTTTCGCACGATTTATGTCGAAAACAGTTTGGACGAAAACGCATTCCAAGGACACCGGTCCACAGACCAAACACTAGTATGCACATGAACGGCGCAAATTACTCATTAACGTAGTTTGCACAGAAACAGTAGTTGAAGATGATCATTTAATTTAGGATGTCCAAAAGTACCCATCGATTTGCGTATCCGAAAACGTATACGTATAAAGACGTATACCATTTTTCATATCCGTTGAATGTTCTGTCACCATGCAATCGGAAATTGCTTCATTCTTTTTAGCCACCCTGCAGTTGAACCTAATTGTGAAAATCTTAATTGATTTCAAGAGCCATATGCGCACACAGAGTGCACAGTTTGGAAAAGAAAAAAACTGCGTACTTACTCGTCTTTATCTATACCAGACATTAGGACGCCGTAACGCATTCCGAAGGGTTTGCTTCAAGTTTGATTAACTGTTAACAACTTTTTTTGCAGGATGCTTTACACACACTCGCAGAAATTACTTGTAGCTCTGGCATTATTGACTACAGCAATAAACTGCGTAAAAACTGCCGGAGTGCCAAAAGAACTTGCTAAAAACAGTGAAACCAGCGTCTGGCAAGTCGTCAGCCGCATATTTAGATGGCTTGTCGACAACTGCATAATAAATGATATGAAGGTTAGTATATTTATGAACAATTACATTTAGATTAGGTTTTTTCTGTTTGAAATTTTTGTAGAACAAGTACGCGATTAAGCACATTAGCGTTTTGTTATTTTAAAAGCACTTAAGCAGTAATAAAAATGCAAAATGTATTTTGGAACTATTGGGGTTTCCTGTCGGCAAAAAGAAAAAATGCCACTCCACCCCTTAGACCGTATGTATCTTCGAATGCCGATCCTGTCACCAGGGCGCAGGCGCGAATCCAGCTTTGGAGTCAGGGAGGGGGGTCAAGTAGTAGAAATACAGTCTTTTGCTGTCTATGAAATTAGAAAAATTATCGTTAGTTGTTATAAACCCAGCACAAAGGGGGGTCGTGACCCTAATATTTTCATCTCGACTGTCTCTAGGAGTCTTTTGGTTTTCGCTGTTACTGGCCGGGTTTCTGCGGTATATGTCATCTCAGGCCTCACGACGGTTTTGTAGATCCTCGATTTAGTGTCCGTTCTCATACTCTTATTGTATTTAGTCAGCCAGCTATTCTAATTGATTTTGGTGTTTGATCTCTCCCTTCTGACTCAATATCCCCAAAGCCGGACAGTTTTATGCCAAGGTAGTTAAATTAAATTTTCTGCTCGATTACTCTACCGTCAAGTTCCAGTTTGCATTATAGAGGGGTTTTTGTCGTTGTTAAGCACTTTGTTTTGATCGGTGAAATTTAAATATTTAGAGACTTGGCTGTCAGGTTGATTAAGTGTAATAACCTTTGCAAGTCATCTTCACTTTCTGCAATTAGAGCCGCATCGTCAGCATAACACACTATTTTGATTTCTGCATCCCTCATTTTGTATCCTTTTAGCTCTCGAACACTTCGAACAATTTCTTCTATTATTAAATTGAAAAGGGTAGGATTCAGGGAGCCTTCCTGACGAATACCGCTACCCTCTGGTATTGGTTCTGAGAAGTCTCCTTCTATTTGTGTTCGTATTTTATTGTTTGAATATATGTTCTTTATGGTTTTAATGAGATTGTGTGGGATTTGCCTGTTGTAATGGAGATGTAGGACGTCTTTCAGCTGGACGCGGTCAAATGCTCTAGTTAGATCAACAAAACATAGAAAAGCTCGCTTGTTGTATTCAATCAAATTCTCCACTATGTGTCTTAATACGAACACGGCATCTGTGCAAGATCTTCCCGATCTGAATCTTTGTTGTTCGTCCGCCAACGATGTAAAATTGTTGATTTCGTTCGTAATTACTTTAGTTGTTAGTTTTAGAGCAGTGCTTAAAAAGTTTGTTCCTCTCTAATTTGATGGTATCGTCTTTTTTGAACATTAGCACTGTAGTGCTGGTTCGCCATTCATCTGGGATTTTGTGTTGATATATCATTTTCTGGATTAAAGTTGTTAATTATTCTGCTAGTCTTTGCCCCTCGTATTTGAGCAATTCGTTTTGTATACCGTCTTGCCCGGCGCGATTTCTATTTCTTAGTTTCTGTAGTAGGCCTGAGTAACACTGCGTTGAATTGCGCTTTTGAGTTGATGCTGGGCGGGGNCCCCGCCTCACTACGCCTCATCTCGAACTGCGCTTGTGGAGGACATTATTCACCAATACATAGATAGCAGCACCCACTCTGGTTAGTTCATTATGATCACATTTAACCTCATTCAAGATGGCAGACTTCGAACTGCAAGTTTGTGAAAGCCGGGATGTCGTTCAGGAGATTCCTGAGTTATGTTTGTTGGGGTGCGTGACGGTTAGATTGTGTTTTAGTTCAGCCTGCGGAATTACTTCGCATTACTTGGGGTTCTCGTTTAGCATGGGATTTGGAAGATTCCTGAGGGATACATTGGGAAATTTCTGGGCTTTCGAGGTGACATTGCGACATACGGATTTTGAAATAGTTGAGGATTTCGTCCAGCCTGGCGCTGAGCTTTTTATTTTGGGCGGGAGAAGGTTGGAGAGGGTTTTATTCATGGCGTGGTTTTCCTTGCGGAAGAAGTTCAGAGCGCGGGTGGAGTTTGGGGAGGCTTTCATGTGATATAGTATATGAGCTTTTGCGGATTTTGGGGGATCATTAAGTGCAGAGGCACTTACCTGAGGCTTGGGTGGCTCGGACATCTCCGCCCTTCGCGCACTTCTCACTTTCAGTGTTCAGTAATCACTTTCGGCACTTTCACAGAAAACTTTCCGGAGCCTTTCCGAACGCACACGATGGTACGATTCAAACTCTAATTAGTGTATTTCCAAGTAAACTGCGTTTCTGCGATTTGTACTCTGATTCGATTTGTTGTCGACTCTGGGGTCGTGAGTACGGGATGTGGGTGTGGGCAGGGTGGGGTTGTGTCTGCCCGGCATACTATCTGAACATATTTATTATCAGCTAAGTTTACAAACTTCCTACTGCTACTTATCTACGGGTTCTTAAATCTAACGTCGTTGGAGTGTCTAACACTCCATGTAACTTAAGATATGTCATCGTATATAACTTAATCTAAATGACCCTAACTAACGTAATCTAAACCTAAACCTAAACCTAACAGTCTCTCTTGCTTCCTATAACTAACTTAGAGTTAGCCCATGGTCCTCGATGTGGTGCAGGAACTGGTCATCGCATGTGG